AATCCAACCCTGGTCATCTTGGTGAATGACAAGTGCGCTATCCACTGTGCCACCCGACCACTCAGTGTCTGATGTCTGCTCAGATTCATTTGTAAGGCTCTTGGAGTATTTGCACTATTTTGCATCCACGTCATTGCAGTTATCTATGTTATTTAAAATATTTACCATGCATGTTTCCTATGCAAAACTCTCCATCAGTAGCAGTAATCAAGTGAAAGACATTGACGCAACTGACAAAACCAGCATCCAGTGCTGTTATCGACATGATATGTTACAGAAATATCATGTCAGAATGCATATGGAGCCACTTTTTTTCGAAAATACTTTTTATTGACGAGGAAACATGGTTTAAAAGTCACATAAATGAAATAGATAAAATATTTACATGATAATACCATGGAATGATGTATATATTTACATGATAATACCATGGAATGATGTATATATAATTCAAACCTGTTGCAGAATATTTCAATATTTTCATGAATGAAAACTGTCTCCTGTGACCATTGTGAAAAAAATTGTTCAAAGAGCAACCATCGGCTGAGATTTTTAACAAACTAAAATGTTTTTGTTTTTTTAAGTTGAACTTTAAGTACGGTAATATTTTTGCAAGAAGATGAATGAAATTTAAAACCTGACGCAAAGTTTAACTGTGTACACCATTGACTGTGAAAATGACAACTGGCTTGTGATGATGTCAATTCCTGACAGAAACAATTATTTTCTGGTCCTTTTTTAGACCAGCCTGGTATCTGTTTATTGTCACAAGTAACAGACAGCTCATGTAAGTTCACTGTGGTTTCGTATAGAATTCATTTTCTCTGGTGCATTTCAAGTCATTTTGTCTCCCGTCCTGATCAGAGCAATTTATAAGGTATAACTTGTTGTGTTAGAAGTAATATTTTTGTTATATAAAAACAGTATATGATAAAGTCCTGTGGAGATGTCCTCCCAGATTATGTCCTGTGGAGATGTCCTCCCAGATTTTGACATAATACTGGAAGTGAGGTCAGTGTCCTGCCAAAACTAGCTCGTCTTCAGCTGTCCTTGGTCAGAGGTACAAGTTGTGATTAGCAGTTAAGGATCTATGTCGTTTTCCCCCTGACCAATGAGTGTCTTTAGGGTACGTATTACAGACAAAAACTATCTTATGGCAGTGTTAAGTCTAGACTGACAAGTTGTTATAATCTGAGGTAGATATGTCGTCAATATCAGATACAGTGTAAGAAAAATTACTGATCACAATACATCTTGTAGAGTCAAGAAATCTGTATAAACAAGACATTCAGCTAAATCCAACTCTACACCTGTCTGTGTCTAAATGATAACATTAGTATCTGACTTTACTGGTCCCTGACACACTGCTCTTTTTTTCCTGTGTATGCATAGTAATCTCCCTTAATTTCGTTTAGGATATACCTGTAGCACAGTTTGACCAGGACACCTCTGTTGACCAGGTAGCTCAGTCGGTTGAAGTGATAACATAACAATATTTAGTCAGGGGTTCAAATCCCTTCCTAGCCATGCCTATTTTTTACAATCAGAAAATTGTTGTCGATTTATATTTAGTGTCATTCAGTGAAGACAGGTTTCAATGTGGTGTTCAGTTAAGACAGGTTTCACTATGGTGTTCAGTTAAGACAGGTTTCACTTTGGTGTTCAGTTAAGACCGGTTTTGTGTTAGTGATCTCTTTACTGGTTTATTGGACAAAGTTGTTAAATGAAAGCTGTCTAAATCAAACATCATCCTAACCAAAGGTGTTGGTTCAGAATACACAGGTGCTAAGGTATTGGCCAGGTTCATCCAACACTGATGTAATTATAGACACACCTGGTACTGTATACAGAAACTGTTTTGTCATGTGAAATAAAATCTATATTAACCAAATGTTAATTTCACATCTCACAGTATAGAAATATTATGTAAGCAGTGAACTACTATTTGCTACCCTGATAAATTAGTCCTCATTAAAACATAAAAGTAACAGTATCTATAGACCTAGGCCAAGCTGTCGTGTCATGCCGTGTCAAACTTAAATATGGTTTTCAGTTCAAAACAGTCACCGTAGTTCATTTGTTTACAATTTAAATGAAAAAAATAATTTGTAAATTTGATATAATGTTGTTCGATGAAGCCTATAAAAGATTTACTGATTTTTCAGGGTTTACTTGGAACAAGGTTTACAGGCCAAGTTTGAATAGTTTGAATATCCGTTGTATTATTACAGCTTAAGTCTCCAAAACAGTTCGCTCTTAAGCTGAATGTCACACAAAGCTACATCCAATTAGAATAAAACAATTTATGTGACATCCGAACTACCCAGATTCCAACTGTGCCCCATGCATATTGAACAAAGGACCCAGGGACAGTCGTGGACCAATTTATACTGCGATAAAGTTACCAGATAGAATGTGATAGGTCGGCCATTGTTGTGTGTGTCTATGTCACAGCGGTCTATAGCTAGCACCTCCCAGGAGTGTGGTCAACTTGTGGCAGGTTGGCTGTACTTCACCGTGTCCAGCCGGTGGTCAGAAATGTCTAGCCAATACAAGCTGGAGGTATTAAGCCGAACTCTCATTACCTAGTGTCACATTAGGTCAAAATTTGATATTGAGTTTTTTTCCAAGCCAATTTGCAAAAGAATTGGTTCAAAACCAGTCATGTTCTCTTGTGTCTTGAGTCTCCATTGCTATTAAGAGTGTCACTAAATGCTGGAATGGATATAAATATTTTATCTTTTTTTTGGTGTAGCTTAGAAAATACTGAAATGTTACTAAAAATATAATGATTGAACTAATTCTGATCATTAAAAGATAAACAAATTCCAAGGGTTTCCAGGGTTGCTTGTCACTTTAAATATATGTAAGTTATAATTTTAAATCACTTAATATAATTTAGTTTTGATTTGAAAAATTGTAAATCTTCAGTATACCGTTTTTTTCAAATGTATGTTTTAAGCTAACAAGTCTTAAATGACAAACCTGGTCATCTTCCAATGATTGGACACAGTACTGTCGCAGATAATGATGACATTCCTACATGCTCCAACGTAAAATGCTCCACAGCAACAATACAATGCTTTATAACATTTCTTCTAATGGTGGTGTGCTAAGTTAATGTGTTCATTTAAATTAATACGATAATTTTACCTGGAAATATGCTGATGTGTTTTTGCGTTGTGTACAAAGCCACAGTTAAACTGTCCTTTGCCTAAGTTTATTGTTGATCCTAATTCCAGTATATGCATGGTTTGTCTGTGGCTCCTGTGGGATTTTCAGAGCTGGAAGGATGGGATTGGCACGATGTAGAATTGATCTACTCTGATACCAGTATCTACGTGTATAAAACCTCATCTTGACCCCATGATGTTTTTTTTAACAATAATTCGGAATTAACCATTCAGTTGGCAGAAATCGGCTTGTCATCGAAAAAGAAGCACATTAGCTGCAGAAATATTGTTATGGATTTATATAGATGTGGTTCCCAGTGGGAAAGTGGATTGCATTAGACACGGAGTGTCAGAAAACGGAGTCATTGTACACTTCATATGTTGTTTACGAGTCACTAGAATCCAGCCAGTATGAGAGAAGACTATTTCTGTTTATTTTTATTTTGACTTTTTTATTAGCAACTGGAGAGGAAAATTCATAACATCATTATGGTTGCTATGTTGTAATTTAAGTACAGAAGGAAAAAAACAGTGACTAAGCAGAGTCATTTTCACGGTGATTTATTTGAGTGTATCAAATACAAGAAACTAGATGTATCAAACTGAAGGCTGTAATTTTGGTAGGCTAAAAACCACTTGGTCGATCCTGGTCGATCCTTAATATAGAGGATAATATGGGTCATTTGGCTGGGCGATATTCTCCAGCATGTGTGATAATTACATCCGAGGCATTTTATAGGTTGGTCTGTGGGTTTTTTAAGGAGAAATATAGTGACAGAGAAATATAAAATTGGGTCTCAAGTAGACAAATTTATGTACGGTATGTTAAATCGGCTTTATCATCTTAGGGTTTTTTTAAAATGTGAGTCTGGTGGAAAAAAGTTGGGTCAAGTGATAGAGTGTACAGAAGACATAATTCATCAGCTTGTATTGTGAAAGAGGAAAAAAAGTGACCAAAAAAAGTCTCAGGTGAACAAATTCGGCCAGGGATGTTCATAATTTATGGTTGGTTGAGCCGTTTTGACACATGACATTATTAACCATGTTTTTTTCAGTTACAAGTCATTGGTAGGCTTATGTACCTGTTGGGGATGTGTTTATGACAGATTTCTATTGTCAGGGCTCCGTTTGTAATTGGCAGGGTTCCGTTGTGGCCCTACCCTAGCTCAGGTGCCCATTTACTGGTTTACACATGACCCCAGTCACAATGTTGGCAGAGTGGGACAAGTATTTGTCCACCACCCTCCGCTATAGAAGTGTGTATAAAGCTAACTAGGGCTGACTGGAATATGTTTTTTGAGCATGCTATGATTGTTAAGATGTGGAAGGGCCCTTTTATTTGTGTCAGAGCTGGAATATATAGCTTATTGTACATCATCGGAGGATCGAAAAGGGCTATTAAATGTACAAGTGCTAGAAGCCATTCATGTTTATCTACAGAAGGATAAAACAGAAGCAGACTTGTTAATGTCAGGAGATCTGGAAAAATATCTGACAGAGTTAAATTATCGTACTGGGAGAAAGTCGTCAAGGCAGATGTCTTCAGCAGTAGACTGCATAGTCAGTCTCACCTCAAGTGTGGACTCAAATATTAGAGATTCAGACAGAAGACTCTACTAGTCTACCCTGAAGAAGAAAACATATGTATGATAAACTGAACATAGATTCAACAGAAGACTCCACAGGAAACTACAAGATTCCATCCATTTTAAGAGGGAACCATGATAATTTTTATTTAGAGAAAACTTAAGAAAATGTTTTCCTTCCAAAGTGGATCAGATAGTAGATTTCATAATATGATAGTAGAATATAATAGACTGCATAGAGGGCTATAGACACCATACTCCATAATAGATTCAGTATATATATATTAGACATCCTTTGTTGTATACAATAATAGATTGCAGAAGAAAATTACATAGTAGACTCAATTTAAGTTGGATAGTAGAGAGATTGGTAGGAGTCCATATTTGATAGGTATTTATGATTACAAAGTAGACTCGACAGAACAGAAATTAGTAGAAGTCATTAAATTTCCAAGCAAGACATTACATAGTAGACTCCATAAAAGACTGCATAGTAGAGAGCTCGGAAAAAATTAACATTCAAATAGAATGTTGATGCTTACAACCTAGACACCAAAGAGGACAGATTCATAGAATTCAGAAGTAGACAACGAAAAAAAATCATAGTATCATGGTGCAGAAGTTGGTAGAATTTGATATTTGATTGGTTTGTTGATTATAATTTAGACCCCAAAGAAGAGAAATTTGTAGAAATCATTAGACTTCTGAAGGAAAATAACATGGCAGACAGCATAGTAGAGTGCATAGTAGAGAGATTCATAGAAATCATTTAGACTACTGAGCAAAATATTACATAGTAGACAGCATAATAGACTCATTGGAAGAGAGATTTGTAGAAGCCATTTTGACTACTGAGCAAATAAAATTACATAGTAGACTCCATAAAAGACTGAGAGGAAGAGAGAAGAAGAGTGGATGGTATGTTGGTGATTACACTGCAGACTCAATAGAAGAGATATTGGAAGACTGTCAAATGCAAAGTAGAAACAAAAATAAAAAATGCATAGTAGAGACAAAAAAATAAAAAAGCATAGTAGAGACAAAAGAAAAATCTGCAGAAATCATGACTAGACTGCAGAAAAAATACATAGTAGACTCCTAGAAGACAGTTGTGGTAGACATTGGTAGGATACTATACAGTAGAGATTGATAGGAGACTATACAGTAGAGACTAGACTACCCTGTATACAGTAGAGATCGTTAGGCGACTATATTGTAGGGATCGGTAGAGACTTTATGGTAGAGATCGGTAGGAGACTATACAGTAGAGATTGATAGGAGACTATACAGTAGAGATTGATAGGAGACTACCCTGTATACAGTAGAGATCGTTAGAAGACTATATGGTAGGGATCGGTAGAGACTGTATAGTAGAGATCGGTAGGAGACTATATGGTAGGGATTGGTAGAGACTTTATGGTAGAGATCGGTAGGAGACTATATGGTAGGGATTGGTAGGAGACTATATGATAGAGATCGGTAAGAGAGTATATGATAGAGATCGGTAGAAGACTATATGGTAGCTATATACATATGGGATTGGTAGAAGACTGTATAGTAGAGATCAGTAAGTAATTGTGGTAGAGAGAGTTGGTAGAAGTCAATATTTAGATATAGGTATATATGTTGATGATTACAGAGAGTCTATAGAACTAGCTATCCAGTGTAGTACAGTATAGCGTGTATGACAGAGGTGGGCTAGTCAGTGCTGATGTGTACATACACTGGTCAAGGGTTTCCCTACAGGACTTACACTTCACAGCTATAAAGTGCCCTCCACTGTAGACAGTTAGTTACTGGGATTACACACAATCATTTTCCACACTTACATCATCCTCTAGATTTGGATTGTATTGACCGGACTCACTGGATTAAGGTTCTACAGTGACTTTCTGTGTTTATCTAGTATCTATCACAGCCTTTACGAGGAAGTACATAGAAATGTGCAGGGCTAGACCTCAGGATCGTGGTGGACAGATACTCCAGCAGATAACCCTACAGGAATTTACACGTGCTTCTATCAGCCGCTTACTATTGATCTAGATTCCTCCCTACCTTTCACCATCACCAAGGAAAATGGTAATTGTTTATTGTTGATGAAGACAATAGCACATATATGTGTGTGTATAGATAAAGAGACAGGAGATATGGAGGACCAGGGGTTATAGCCTAGCTGTCCATTGCTACCTGATTTATACTAGGGATGCTGAGAGGCTGTAGGTGTGATTAAGATAATAATGGCTTGCACCAGACCATAAGTAACCCCGCCATGACAATTGACAGCCCTACACTTAGACCTTGTGTGAAATTTTATCCCTCGTGTGTTCTGATAAGATAAACCTTGTGAGCTTTTCCACACCAGCCTTTCCAGGATTTCAAGAATTTGTTCGTTTTGGATAAACTGCCAGAGAGAGAAAAAAATAAGGCTGCTAGCTAGTCTTGGTAGCAGGCAGCATTGAAAACAGAAGAATTATTTGTGGAGAAAAGTAATTCAAACGACAGCAAATAAATTTGTTGAAGAGAAAAGCGATTTGGTTCTGAGGTTAGCAGCCACCTGCTTACGGATACCTACGGGACTGGTTTCAGATTTTTGTCGCCCAGGTCTAACTAGAGCTTGGCTGGTGATCGGAGCAAGTCTGCGTTATTCAGGCTCCCTGTCCTAGCCTGCTTGAGTGTGTACAGTGAGTTGGATAACAGTGTTGTGCCGGTGACAGAAATTGTGTGTCTTTTAACCCTTCTCCAACATTCTGTGTGGAGGAACAAAATTAAAATATGGTAATATCAGCGGAGAGAATTTTTCAGGATTTGATTGTGATCAAAATGTCTGTTTTAAATCTACAGTCTAGATAAAAATTTGGTTGTTTCCGGGTACAGAGGAATATTGGATATCTTATTCCGAGACGTGTAGAGGAAAGTGATTTCCTTTCTGTCAAAAATTTACCATCATGGGGGATCAATTTGATTTCCGCGACATACACGACCTCAACATTGGGTAAGTTTCTTGTCATCTTATGTCTCGATACGCTACCTAAACCATCAACCGAAGACTTCTGATTCACTTCTACTGAGAGAAATTGCATTTAAATATATTTTTTTTTTTTTTTTTTTGAAAAATGTACATTTTCGAATTAAATTTTTTAACACTTTTTAACATGTGGAAATAATTGTGAAAATTAGATATCAATAAGTAATGAGTTTTCATTTGAGTGCATTTCATAATTTTTCATCCAAAATAAAGTTTGGTAGAGTTATTACACTATTTACTTTCTTAAGAAATCTTTTAATATCTTTTTTAAATCATTCAATCTTAAAATTGTATGTTTGTACTGATCGCTTTAGCAAGTCTTTTTCATACATGTCTTGTCATTAAATTGTAATTTCGTAATATTTTTTCTGAATTGTAAAGATGGTGTACTCATTTGTAGAAAACGGGAGAATTAAAATTTGATACGATGAGCTGGGGTTATAAACAGACTTGTATCCCAGTACACATGAATTGTAGAAAGGCCAGGAAACCAAATTCTAAATTACTTTGGGGCTCCGGTTACATTTCAAAGCATTTATTTACAAAATGGTATGTAAACAAGTCGTGGATTTTTTATAAGACCTTAAGCATGGTATTACCTGAGATGGCCTACGAAATGAAATTTAAAGGAAACCAAATATTTGTGAGAATAAAACTAGATGAACTGGTATGATTACTTGGGTTATATCTTCAACATTGATTATTTGTCATCTTATTTCTCATTGCGCTGGAACCACATTTTAAACAGACAATTAGTTATACGTATAAATGAACATATTAAACAACACAGAAATCAAGTTATCTATGACCATGAAATTATCTAAAATATCTTGATTTTTATGATAAGAAGCATACAATTTTCTGTGAAGTTTCAGAGTTATTTTTTATACTGGAAATCTGAATTAATAATTATATTTCTTTTAGTGTTTTGTCCTTTTCATTTAAACATAACACTTTGTGTCGAAAGTTTGTCTTTTTGATGAAATTCAAGGCACCTCATGTTTTTGTTGAAGTTAGGTGGTTATACAAATAAAAATGTGTCGGTTGCAAGTTAAAACTGACATTTTGTATATTACCTTTTTGCAATTTTGTATAAAATTCAAGGATTTGATACAACAGCATAAATAACATGTATAAGTCAAATGTAGAAAAATCAAAATGGGTTAAGTGTCTGATACAGTCAAACAATAATGGCTTTTCATTTTTATAATGTTTTGACAGTGTGGCTGTACCTATGAGTGCTAACTGATGATTTTATTGTGTGTGCCAATGTTGGATCCATATATTGTATATAATATCTGGAGGGATTAACACAAGCTCACTCACTATCAAAGACATCAACAGTCAACTTTGTACGACCAGTTTTGTCTGTTCCATAGTCAAGCTTACAGTATGCTACTGGTTCTGAACCCAGTACACAGACATACAATAGAGATGTCCAGCAAATTATGAAAAACATCAAAATCACAAGTTTAACCCTGTGTTAGAGTAAAGAAAGAAATTGTGAAAATACATGTAGCATTACCATTTCCACGATTCAATTTTGTGTACATCAGTCTTTGGACAATATGGTAAAATGTGTAATTTTTTTTAATGAGGAATTATATACCTGAAAAAAAATGATAAAGGTATGCATTGTAATTCTGTTGTCAATGTATAAATTGAGGAGTTTATTAACACTGGTGGCCTGGAATAATTTAATTTTCACGATTTGACGATCAGTGATAACGGTAGCTAACTGTTTGTATTTAGGCAGTGCGATGAAGCATGCCTCTTTATCTGATGTTCATTGTCCAGCCCTCGCTCTATCGCACTCCACACTACAAAATATCATAATAAGGTGAAGCGATTTGTAGCTCGTTAACTATAATCACGACAGGTAGAAACCCCAGGTAAGGCAGCGGAGATGTAGAGATGGCCGCTGCAATTCCAGGGATCGGTGAATACAGAAATTATCAGGCGAACAAATGAATACGTTGTAGGGAGTAGTGATAATGTCGTTAATGACTAGATAGATGGCAGTCGTACAGGAAACAGTTCAGATTCATAGGTACCGGGTTACCGTGGCAACCACTAGCAGTCTTTGTAAAAGGACAAGAGACAGATCTCCTCAGCACAATGTTGGAGTAAAGCTGACATCCAATACAGCTTGTTGTGATAATAAGATGGCTATTGGTAGAATGTAGAGAATGTGTCGTGCTCCAACGAATGAAACTATACCTGACCTCAGTCAATTGTCACCTTGTATCACCCCAAACCCGAGTCAGGATCGGGATAAATATCATATACATACACGTGTGTCTGTACATGACCAATTTTACATAAATGATATTTGTTTTGATATGTTAGGTGTCAATATCCTTTATATATCAATATCACGTTTTTATGGTGAAAAAAGGATAAATCATGGTATATTATGGTGTTAGTTTCATTTATCCATACAAATATTGCAATAAAAATGAAATCTTTTTATATGAAGTACAAAATTCATATATCAAAAGCGGTTTTAATATATATGTTTTTTCCAACTGAACATGTTATACATGTAGTATTACCTAGGTTTCTGCATACATTATCATTAGTCATTTTCAGGGTATGAATATTTACAAAAAATTATTCTTTTGAACACTTTTAACTTTTAAGATCAATTGACTTTCGAAATATTATAATGGAGTTTTCAATTTTTCTACATCATCCTTGATGTGGTAAATATTGCCATGCCCCGTGTCATTTTATATTTTTTGTGTCTGTACATTTTCAGAAAATGTAACACATTTTAAAGTTTTTTAAAGAAAATTGTTACAAATATATATTTAGCAAAAAAGATATGTTTACTGCGACTCTCTGTCATTGTATAGTGTTCAATTTACCCTATCTCTTCTTTCAAATTAGTCTTCTCTCTTGTGGGTCGTAAATTAATTGAAATGCTGGCCATGGTCATTTGTGGGAAAGGTGTGATGGGGGAGTCGTGTTCTGCCAGTACTTTGGGTGATTAGTTGTAGCAGCGGTGAAAACATCAATGAATCTATAAAAAATCAGTGTATAATTGCTGGCCGATAATTCAGGGACAATCACTGGTGGCCTGGAGTAGCTGATTTTATCTCTCTTGTTTTGATATAATGAAAATATTAATGATCCCATACTGTTAATTTAAAAGTACAGAATGTATACCGTAAAATATATATACAAGTAAAATATAAGAATATTAAACATCTCTATATAGTTTTCATCAGATCTATACAGATTAACTTATGTAAAAGTATTTCATTTTTTTAGCATTCATGCTCAATATAAACTAAAAATATTTTAACAAAACATAAGGTTTAGAATGATGCTTTTATTTCTGAAATAGAATCACATATGAAATAAAACGACATTTATTTATTTTTCTGTTTAAATAGATATTATTATTTGATTTTCAATTTGTTTATTGCTTGCAAAAATTTTGTAAATGTACACTTGATTTCCAATATAAAAGGGGTAGTTTTACTATCCAACTTAAAGAGACTATCTACATGTACTTGATTTCTAAGATAGAAGAGTTTCACTGCTTAGTGTGACTCTATACCTAACTTCATAGAAAGAAGAGTTCCGTTGCTGAATGCACAGATGGAATCTGTGAGTGCAGAGCTCTAAGTAAGAGATAAAAATACAATGTTAAAAAAGTGAATTGATCTTATTTATCAAAGAACATCAATGAATGTCTAAACAGTGGCTAGTTTCATGTAGAAATGGCATTTATTGTGTTGGAGATGTTTATTTTCTTGCTATCTTGATAGGATAAATCTACTTAGCCCTGGCTTTGCCACTTAAAAGGGACTTGTATATAGGTTGAATGTGTAAGGTGTTGGATGTTTACACCTGTAATCGACCAGATTGATGGTCGTTAAAACTTTTGTTGAAAGTGTGTATGGTATTCACCGCCATATACAGGTGTACTATACAGGTAAATTGACGACAGAATTTTCAATTACATGTAGGATTGTGCCAACAAGCTGTCTTGTCCAATGCAAGGGCATGCAAAGTTGTGATGAAATATTGATAGACTTTTCTTCTAATCGACACAGCTAATCAGAATAAACATACATGATGCCGTATTTAAAACACTAAAGAAGGCAAGCCAGGTTCGATCCGCCCATCAGTTTGGGCCGGATACTGAAACTGATAAGGGCTTACTTACATTTGGCTTCCGTGATCCCTGTCATGCAAACAAAAGGTCATGACCTCAACGGTATGCGGCTTTCTATCGATGGTTGATTAGGGGTCGAACACAGGTACAACCGATAGTATACATGTAGTTGTTTATCAGGTGGCTATTAAACTAAATAGAGAAACCCGAGGCAGGATAGAAGTCTGGGATTGGTCTGTTGGGGGACTGGGGCTATAGATTAATTGTTTTCTGGGGAGAGATGATTAGATCCTTTGGAAACCATGCAAGTCCATGGTAGTTCTCTGGAGGACGGGTATTTTCCGTTTAGATCTCCTGGGAAACAAAGTCCATGATAGTTTCCTTATGAAACCAGGTAGTGCCCCTAGGAGACAGGTGTAGTTTCCTTTGAAGTTTCAGAGACTTGTCTTAAACAGTTCCCTTGGATGGTTCTCTTGTGGAAGTGCGTTGTTGAAAGAGTATTTCAGACATTACATCAAAAGATTGGTTGTTCGAAAATACATATAAACATTTATGGGAAATATTTGGTTGTGGAACAAATATATCCAGAAATACAACCAATTAAATATGTTTTGATCACCAAACAATTCTTGATTTAATATTTTATAACCTGTCCTAAATAAAACCTTGTTAATGTCAGGCAATTTCCAGAGTCCTGCATGCATATAAATAAACCTCTGTAATTAGGTAACCTGTTTATAATAGACATATTTCACAACTACACTGACACCAGTGTTGGTTTAGAAAGGTTCTTCTTTTCAATAGCATTTATCATATGGTAACATTAACTGGTACAGTT